AATTAACGAGATCATTTGCCGTAATTGAGATGCCGATCTTGAAGGCGGAACCCAGGCTTAGATTGAGAACGAGAGCCCCAGTGGCCGAGTGACGGGTGCCCCGCTTTGATCTTGGCTTTTGCCTTTTGCGCTTACTTTTTTGGCGGTCAATATCGGGGCTGGGGGGAAATCAAAACAATTGGCAGCGCCCTCTGGCGGTGCATTAACCAAAATGAATTTATGGACTTTATGCGCCCGGAGGGTGTACGGCCCAGAAGTCAAGATCGTAAATTAATTAAGAGCGCAACACTGGCGGCATTTAAAGTAGATGGGAAATGTGGAGCCGGGAGGGTCGCGGGCCAGCAGAGGGCTTTCGACCCACAATTGATTACCCCATCGTGGGGTGCAGGCCCCTTACTCAATGTGTCTAATGCAATCAGAAATTGATTTTTCATGGGCAACGCTTTTTTCCCGTCTATATTTTCAGATTCAGCGCACGAGAGGCGTTCGGCATGACAGAAACTGTTTAGGTATTCAATGCGGCTTCAGACCCAGTCCAAGTCCAAGAACCGAGAACCTTTGTAACTAGCCGCACAAATCAATCGTTTGAATTGCGTCCGAAACGGCGTGACAAACGGCGAGCAACGCCCCGCCCAAAACTCCCCCAAGTAGCCCACCGATTATATAGCCAGATAAACCACAAACAAAATGGACTCACGCATCGGCCTGGATTACATAGTCGAAAATCGTGACTACATTGCCAAGTTGGGCTCTGCCCTAGACACGCAGAATGCGACGGTCAAGAAGCAGGTCTTCGAGCTGCTGTCCGCGCTCTGCGCCTACAGCCCCGACGGCTATGCCCGTGCCATCGAAACTCTCGAGTTTTACAAGGTAAATACGCTGGCTATAGCAGCAACACAGCGAAGACCTTTTCATATTATTCACCGCCATTCGATGTTTGTCTAGAATCTCAAAAAGGAACGATATCGCTTCAAAATTGTCATCAACGAGCTGGAACAGTCAACTGCAGCTGCAACACCGCCTCTGGACTATCTAGGTACACTGCTGGCCTTTATCAACTGCGTCATCATCTCGGAGCCAAGGCTGCAGGATCGCATTCGCATACGCAACGAGTTTATAGGTAAGTGCTTATAGACTATATAGACACGACTCATATGCATGATGCTTTTTTTTAAAAAACTTCTTATAGATACAACTCTGTATACTTTTATGCATCTCATATACTACTACTCTTATAGATAATTTTATATCTCCCATACAGATAGTTCTCTTGTAGATACATTTTAAATAGATACTGCTTTTATAGATAGATTTAGTTAGTTCAGATCAGTCATTTAATTCATTTCTTATATTTACTAAATTACTAAATATTGGTATTCTTAAGCACATTTCATTTCCTTTAGAACTCTTTCTTTATTTAGTTTTTACTTCGGCTTTTGTTTTTGTTTTACTGGCCGCTCATGCTGATAACCAAAAGGCCATCATGATAAACACATTAGGCCAACCACAAAAAGTCATCAGCCGACCTCCTCCAGGTGCCCCTTCTCTGCATTGTTATTGTTTTTGTTGTATTTTGTTGTATTGTTTGTGAGTCAACTGTTTTGCCCTCTTGTGCTTTGTTAGCTGTCTTCGATTTCATTGATTTGATTGATGTGCCCGCTGATCCGCTGACGGCGCCGCTGATCGGCACTGCCCTTGACCATATGCCATATGCCATATACCTTATACCACACTTGGCAAATGCCCAGACGGAGTTGGTTAACTGCATGCCACAGCCACGCCAGCGACCCTCGGGGCTCTAGGTTCGAGCGGTTGTTGGCTCTGGGGGTCGTGGATAATGATAGTTTCGGCAGCGGGTTAGCCATGCCGCATATCGTCCAATCGTCAAATCGCCTTTGTCGCTTGACGCAATCCAATTGAGTAACCTTAGCACGTGCCGGCGATTAGAGGTGCGTCTCCAAAGTTGTTGACCGACTCAGCTTTCTTCGCCAATGAGAATTCACTCATAAAAAGGGCATAGACTAGAACACAACTAATTGAAAAACGTGACAAGCGTGACTTGGATTATGCTAACGAAATTCGTTGTAAATCTAAATATCTTCATTACAAGCAAGTCAGCAGCTTTGGCTCTGCGGCACCCCCGAAAATTTCAGTTTTTATGACTGAATATTAAACAGAAATATGTGAAATATTCTACGACTAGTCACATAAAAATGATATTTTCAACATGTTGCTATGCATGTGTGCATATATTTGGGATCAAGGGTCTGCACTGCATGACGACAACAAATTGTTATTTAATTCCACTCTGTCCGAGTGGCACTGAAGAGAGCTGCTGTGCTATGCCAACAACATAGACACGTAGTTAAAATGTAATAAGTCGCCTCTGTGCCAGTTGTTGACAAACAAGGGACGCGCTCACATCCTGTCAGCCCGACATCTCGAACCGCCCCTCGCGACGATGCGCGCCGGCCTGAGCAAAGTTCATGAACTGTGCCCGCGCCGTTAAAGCAAACTTCCAGCTTCAGTTGCAGCTCCAGCCCCATCTCAGTGTGCTCCGAAGGCCCGCTTCTTATGACTTTGATTGAGCGCAGTTGTGCGTGAGTGCGCAGGCGCAGCGCCGAATGTGGGGAGCACTCGTTGAATGATGAGCGCTGCACTTGCCAGCGACTCCGAATGGGCAGACGGTGGACAGCGAGAACGGGAGGGAGAGGGAGAGGGAGAGGGAGAAGGAGCGAGGGGCTTTTTATTGTTCTTAATTAAAATAAATTGAGCTGCGCTTTTTCAGCATTACAAGAATATAATAAAGCGACTGCGACAAAAACGAAATCTCAACAGCAAAATGTAAGTCACGCACTTCAACTGCTCCGCTATCTCTCGCTCCCTCTCTCACTCCCTCTCTCCCTCCCTCTCTCCATCTTTCTGTATGTGCAGGGAGGGGCTTTTGTGGTAGGACATTTCACACATGCAGTTGCCATATCGACATGTACATTCCTCAGCGACACATTTGACAAGCAACGGCCGCATTTTGTTTGGCAATGAGCCGATGTATTCAGTTTCAAGGCCATTGGCCTCCATGCTCCACGCCCAAATGCCCTCCCACACCGCCGCCACGTAAGAATCTTAGAGTTTCCATGCAAATATTTGCATATATACAAATATGCGATTCAAAGATCTTGCGAGTTCTGCTAATGCCATTTAAGTGTCCAATTATCGGCTCAGCAGTTCTCTCTCTCTCTCTTTCTACATCTCGCTGTTTCTCTCTCTCTCTCTGTTGAAAACTAGAGTTCTTGAGATCTATTTAAAGGCGGAATCCGTGCAAGACCCGGTCAGAGTATGGCCAGCATATCTGCTGTATGTCATCTGTCAAGTTCATCGCTGCCGGCTGTGCGGCATTTACTGATTTATGCCCCATGATTTTCCACTTTGGCACGCAAAGTTTTTCATAGTTCGAAGTTGTTGCGGCTGTGAACGCGCCATAAATTTATTTATTTAACAATTTTCTCATTTAGCTGGCTGGCAAATTTCAATTTCAATTGATTTATAAAACGTCAACAGCTTATAACAATATATATAAATATACATATATGTATATATGCATGTATGTATAACAAACACAAATATTCAAATCGAATTGATTTTAATTTCAATTTCTGCTTTATTATTTGCACTCGTGTGTAAAGTCATGAGAGTATATTAGTTTTTGGAACAATACGGCTTAAGATTTATTCGTCTCTCAATCACAGTTTTTAAATATAAAATTCCTGCATTCAGAACTGTGTAGATGTAATAGCAATTCGATTATTAAATAAAAAAAAAAAAAAATATTTATATACTAATTTAAGAAATATGTATGTAATAAAATATTTATATATATAATACGAAAATTGAATATGTAATAAAAATAATATGAATATCAGTTGAGAAGATGAAGTACCACTACAGCTGCAATACATATCGATATAGCAATTCTAATTTGAAATATGAGAGATCTTCTATACGCCTCAATCTTTCTATTCGAAAAATTCAATGAGTAAATATATATAGAAAACTCTTTGAGCAAGTATTACGCAGCTTTCAACATCCAATTGCAACCTTTATTTCGGTTAGTCTTAAAGTTTTGACTTGATTTCTTGTTGCATGGCATGTTATTAAACAATTACGTTTGGTTATTTGGGCGTGTTTGGCGAATTCCTTGGCTGTAGGGCATATAAGCAATGGCAGCTGAATTCGCTTAGATCGGTTCTCTAGATCTCAAGAGACCTCCAAGACTTTCCAAATGCTTTAACAATAGCCGGACAAAGAAACTTTTCAACACATCTACACAGAAAACAGAAACAGAGACACTCACATTTTAATTGTGTGCCTTTTATGGTTTTCAATTTCAAATAAATAAAACGACAACGAAACAAAGTCGTAAAATAAAATTATGAACGTCAAGGCGCCAAATAAGGCGAACATTGGGTGGGCAGACCAACCAGGGGATTGGGTGGAACAGCAGCGATACACAGAAGCTACAACGAGGCGACTTTCACGAGCATTTTTGTAATTAATTTTTTATTATATTTATTTACAAGCAGCCACATATCAAATACAACAAAATAACGTCTGTGCGCAAATAAAAGCAGGAGGCGAACAAAGTGAAAGAAACAAACAGCGCACAAAAAACAAGCTTGACCGGAAGCGACTCTTGCTGCACACTGGGCGGCTAGATCAGGTCCCCAATACCCCCAGTGACCAGTCAGCATTGGGAGTTGGGCACGGGCTAAGAACTGTCTTGTTGACAAATTCAATTAGCAAAGTTCAATCTGCAAATGCCAAGCTGTTCATGCAAATTCTAATTGTTTTTACTGCAAAGGCATGCAACAGGCGGAAGGAGGCGTACGCGAGATAAAGTTCATATACTTGTGTATATATGCATTGAATTAGCATCATTAATAGCAGAGTTTAGCTGCCTTGGCTCAATTCAATATATAGATTTCTGAAAATACATATTTCGCTTCATTTCAACATTAAATTAATATTTTTATATGCAGATTTATAACTGCAATTCTCACAAATGAAAAATTATGTTAAGAAACTAAAAATCAAATATATATGTAGCAGGTTCTAGACAATTATCCGCACATATAAAGCAAAAGTAAGAGCCAAACACGAATCAGATGATATTGGATTTTTTGACTACTGCCACGTGACATAATTGCCCTGATCCAATCCATGTGATACCAGACATTCGTATACACGGATGGATATTTATCATTACCGCAACCTAGGCCATAGGTAGCTACGCCATAGACCGTGTCGTTCAGAATGAGCGGATCGCCCGCATCACCCAAACAGGGATGCTCGTCCAGATTGCGAACGTGCAGATTGCCAACGCATAGCATGTCCGGTGTGAATGGGCCAATCAGTCGCTTGCATGTGGCGAAATCCTGCAGCATCACATCGATAAAGAGGATGCTAGAGGCCATAGCGCCGCCCTGCAAACAAGTGTTAGATAAAGTGAGAGGGAATCAGCTGAAATCGCCTTCGATTTGGTGATGTACCTTCAGGACGCGTCCCCAGCCCATGGATCTGTAGTAGAGACCTTCCACAGCCGGCCCGATGGGCAGCCCTATTATCCCAATGCGAAAATTATTTGTGGGTAGCCTCAAGCCGGTCTTCAGCAGTGCTATGTCATTGGTATTGAATATGGTGTAGTTCTGGGGCACATATATCGTCTTCACCGGGATATGCCGGCTCTCCGCGAACATCTTTAGCCGATTGGGTGCTCCAGCAACGATCAGCATCACGCGACTTCGACGCAACACCTTTTGAGTGCTTCAACGAAAGCAAATATTTGGATGAGTACGTACTTATATATATAGATAACTGGATTATCCACCTCATCACGCATTTTGCGGCAGTTAGAATAAATATGGGCGATATGATGCAGCCACCACAGTAATGGTTATCCCCAAAGTATTTGTATGGAGTGCGCGATCTGATGGACACCACATACTTGCCGGTATTCCTAACGGACTGAGCTGTGTAAGTGGGCGTGGCTAGTCGTTTAACACGTCCAACATCATTTAAATCCTTCAGGCCAACAGCTATTGACAATACTAGCAAAATCTGTAAAACAAGGAACAAATTTCTAAAAATCATAATAAGTACAAAATATTTGAATGACATTGATCGAGTGGTTGCTTGACATGGAAGAATAGTTTACTATATCAAATTAAATATTCAACTTGTATATGAATAAATGCCCTGCCTGCAATTCTGATAGCCTATCAAAATATCAAAAAGTAATTTGACCCCGTTCTATGCAATAGATATAAGTGTTTCTAGACTTCCTCTTCTGTTGCATTCGCTCTTGCTAAATGCCTATCATTCTCTCTCTCTTTCTGTGCAATTTTCATTCATTTCAGCACTAAATACCTCTTCGCTGATATATAATTGTATATTAGCTTGATTCACTGAATACTACTTATTATTCCCATGTTGTTTTCATTGCAGGCCTCAAATTATTGCCGCTGCTCAACAATCTAAGGTGAGTTTTTAGGTTTAATAACCACTTAACATAGCTCTAGCGGATGGCAAATGTTAGTCAAAGACATGGCCAGGCACCCACACTATGCCTATGTGTGTGTGTGTGTGTGCTGAATCTAGACAATTTATGCAATGTTTGTTAACTGAAACCCTGAAACACACCCACTACAACAACAACACAACAACAGCAACAACAACCTCAACAACATAGTCCAAATGAATATCACAAACAATTTAAAATGTCTTGCTTGATTTTGATGCGAATCCAATGTGAATACGATGTGAATACACTCGTATTTCGGCAATCGAATCGAATAAGCATTTTAATTTGCATGCATCTCTCAACTAGGCAAGATCAAGGTCTAGTCGCAAAAAAAGAAAAATAAATGAAATTCACATGGTATGCGAAGTGGAGCTTCGCTTGGGCATCTCCCAGCTGGGCCATTATTAGCGGCCGTTTAAGTGTGGTGGCCAAGTTGCGCCGATTTGGACGCTTGTCAAACATCCATCAAAATCGACAACAATCCGAAAACTCTTCTTCTTTCAGTTTTTTTTTTTTTTTTTTTTTTTTTTTTTGTGGCTTGTGTGTTTGGGTCTTATGCAAATAATTTGCGCCGGTTTTTTGTTTTGGGTTTTTGTTTTTGTTGAGTCTGTCAAGCAATTAATTCAATATTTAATTAGTCAACAATAAATCAATTAGTTAGCTGCTGGCTGCCCCCTCGCCCCTCACTGCCTTATCGAGCCGCACAACTGGTTTATAAATGGGGCCTGGGCCCAAGTTGACAATAATTTGCCGCTTCGTATAAAGCTAAGACAAATTCAATTAATTCTTTCAAATAGTTCAGGCCCAAAAATGAACAATAACAATATGGAAACCCTCTGGCTCACCCGATCACATCCCCCTCCCCTCTGCGGCTTCACTGTGGCAGCTTCTACAGCTCTCGTCAGAGACAAAATGCCTAATTGATTGTTCTGTGCCATTTGTCTTGTGGCTCTGCGTCTGAGGCCAAGTGAAGCCCATTTGTTTTGTCTTATGGCAGTTGACACGCCTCTTTTCCCATCGCCCCGCTAGCGCCCCTCTATTGGGATGTGGCATTATTATGAAAAGTTTTTTATTAAATGCGTAGTTTCTTGCGCGTTTTAATTTATTTCAAATTTACAAATCGCTTTAAACGTTTTCATTCAGCCGAGCAGCGCTTTGATTTCAGCGACCCCTGCCCCCCACTCGCCCCCCTCTAGCAGCGTCTTCGAGAGGTGCTATAAATAAATAGATATTCATTTGAGTTTTCGGATCTGCGTAGCTTGGAAGCTGCTATGTTTCTATAAGCGGATTTTAATTGCCGTCGCGTCCAATGGGTTCTAATCAATCTTAAGTTCAATCAATATTGAATAACAGCGATTTTCTATAATACCAATAATTTGTAAACATATGAAATGACAGTCAGGCATCAAATGGAAATAAATTGCTGAGGAGCATAAGAAGAAAACGGCAAAGCATTTACATTTTAAAGCGGCTTTTAAAGACGGCCTAATCTGTCTATAAATTTAAGATGTTTTAGTTAAGAACTCTAGCTGAGGCATTAGTGAAAAATTAAAAAAGAATTTTAAGTATATTTGATGTAAGTTTGGAAATAAAATATAAAAAAGAATGATAAAGAATTGAGTAAAGGAATAAATAATGTACATAAATGTAAATTTGAATTTACATTATATATACTTATATATGCTATCTATGTATACCTCATTCACGAATTTCAACTGAAATGTTATATTAGCTACTTCCAGCGTTTCATGTCTTTAATTTGCCGTGTTAGTTCGTTTAACTTCCTTAACATTAGTTCGATTTTTTTGTTTTTCCGCTTTTCCTTTTATTCACACCGACATTTGGCACCCGCATATCGTGTCAGCCGGGTAAAACTTCCGCGATGAGCCAAAATAGAAATAGCTGCCAAAACAAAGAACAAAGCGCATCACGCAGAGCCGATGTTGTTGACGAAGTGTCTCGTCAAAATAGAAGAGACTCAAACAGGGACGAAAAAAAAAGAAGAAAACAAAAAGAAGAACGGAAGAGTTTTCAGCCTTTTGGCCTGGCTCTCCTAGTTGCCAAGCCAACTTTTTCTTCATGCAGTTTTGTTTTTGTTTTTTGGCTATGGAGAAATCAATGCGCGCGCAGCACGTGGCTGGCAAGGACAACAATAAAAGCGAATTGCTCTCGCAGTCCAGTTTTTGGCTCCGTCTGGTCTGAGCTCCGTCAGCCGTCAGTGTCCTGTCTCGTCCTCACACATTGCCACTTGCTGTTTGCCATTTGCCATTTGCCTCGCTGCTCGCTGCTTGGTGTCACGAGCAACACAATTGAAAAGCAATTAAAAAAGGTGCCACTCAGTTTATGGATATCAATTGACACACCATAAAAGGAGCAAGGACACGAGTGCCTAACAACAACTATCAGTCTATCGAATATGGTCGGAACTGGCGGCGCCTGGCTATAAACGTCGTCTCGTCGAGCCTCGACTCACCTCGCCACGAGTCGCCTCGCCGTGAGTCGCCTCGAGCTGTGTCGCATTGTGATTGCCAAGGCTGCTGCAAGGCAGGCAACGTGGAGTCATCACTGCCAGCCGAGTCCGAGACCGAGTCAGAGTCAGAGTCAGAGACAGAGTCGGCCTCCGGGTTGCCACTGCCATTGCCCTTGCAGCTGCAGCGACGGCTCACGTACTGCTGCTCGCTGTCCCGTTACAGTGGCGCCGCCTTGCAACTAGTGCAGAATCTCAAGTGAGTGTGTGTGTGTGCGGTGTGTGTGTGTGTGTGTGTGTGTGTGTGTGTGTGTGTGTTTTGGCAACCTGCTGTGGCTATGCCACTGAGCAGACACTCAATGTCAGGTCACACAGATTTGGACTGTTGCTGCAACTACTTGTGGCCCACTTGTGCCATAAATCGAAAACAAATATCACATAAATCACAAATCAATTAATGCCCCCTACAATTGTCGCGCGCAGGCAAAACAAATTGCGAATGGCGAATTGCTAATTGACACTTGAATAATGAACCAGACGACACATTAGCAATGCATTTCGCAATAGCAATTGCAATTCCCATTCCAATTCCAATTCCAATTGCTGTTCCAATTAGCATAGTGGCCAGAGATTAACCCATTATTCTACATTGCAGAAAAGTCGTACAGGGTGTCGGCGATATCATCGTACAATTGGACGTGTTCGTGGAGCAACAGGAATGCGACGAGGCCCAGAGCCTGCAGGCGCCCGATGGCATCAATCTCAATTCGCATCTTGATGTCTTCTATGCGATACTGCGACAGGTGAGTGCCAGCTCTAATTAATTTCTCTCTCTCTCTCTTCCTCTCCCTCTCCCTCTCTCACAGTCAACTCTGCGCTGTCACATGCCTCGTATACTTATTATTCATATGCATATGCTTAGGCACGGGCATGAGCATGGACATTAAGTATACGCAGCGTATGCCCAAGTTGAACTAAGTGAGGGTGCATTGTCAAGGTGCTCATTGCACGCGAATCGAGGATAAATGTCAACTGTCATACGGAAGGGAGCTTATTTATAATATAACCCAATGAATTTCAAGTTAATGTGTGTTGGCGCCATCTAGCGAAAGGCCAGGGCAACTACAATGCATTTAAGCCGGAAACAGAATTTGAATAATTGTAGAAGTCCTTATACAACTTAAAGTAAAGAAATTCTTAGAACTTCTCAAGTTCAGCTGAGCAGTAGATTTAACATTAATGATATTAGTTCCACCTCCTTCTACTAAGCCAAACCCAAATCTAACTATCTCTTCCGACTGCCAGGTGGCCGATAAGCCGCAGGAGGGGCCATTTCTCAATATATTGCAACATCTGCTGCGCATCGATTCGAAGGACCCGCTGAGCGATGTCATTTGGGATACGACTGAGCGGCTGGTGCATCGCGCCACACTACTCGAGGATCCCGATGATGCAGTGCGTCTGCTGCGCCATCAAAGTTCACAAAAATTCACCTGCGCCAATTGTCGGTCGAGCGATGCCAGCAGTCCGACAAGGAAGCCCTCACAGCCACACGCGGCCGTGGCCGTGGCGAAGCCACCAGCAGCGCCACCAGCAGCGCCACCTGCACCAACTGCACCAGCTCCGCCGCCGCCGCCGCCACCCGCAGCATTTACAGTTAACGGCGCCGCACCCCCGCCGCCGCCGCTGCCCGCGCCGAACGGCAATGCGGGGCTGCCGCCGCCGCCGCCACCGCCATCGTTGCGTCCGACTACTCCGCTGCCGGAGCAGCCGGCGGTGTCGCTGTTGCCACAGCAGGTTACGCCCGAGTCCAAGTACAAACTGAGATCCATCAACTGGAACAAGATACCGGACAACAAGGTGCTGGGCAAGGAGAACATCTGGAGCAAAATGGCCAACGTGCACCGGGACAATAATCGAATGGAAATCGACTTCAGCGAGATGGAGGGTCTCTTCTGCCAGCAGCCCACCAGCGGCGAGGGCTCACCCATTCCGACCAGAAATAAGAACGGCAAGCCATCCAGCGCCAATGGCAAGGACACATTAGATCGCAAGGGCAAGAAGGAGAGCACTGAGATCACTCTGCTGGACGGCAAGCGCAGCCTGAATGTCAACATCTTTCTGCGGCAGTTCCGCAGCAACAGTCAGGACATCATCCAGCTGATACGGCATGGCGCGCACGAGGAGATTGGCGCCGAGCGGCTGTTGGGCTTGCTCAAGATACTGCCCGAAATGGACGAGCTGGAAGTGCTGAAGAGCTTCAATGGAGATCGCACGCGTCTGGGCAGTGCCGAGAAGTTTCTGCTCCAGCTGCTCGAGGTGCCCAAGTGAGTGGTTAATCCAACTGAAATGGAACCTTGGAACCTGATATTAAATACCCTTTTCTCTTTCTCCCCCACAGCTATAAGCTGCGCATTGAGAGCATGTTGCTCAAGGAAGAGTTTGCAGCGAATATGGCCTATTTGGAGCCCTGCATCAATGCCATGCTCTTCGCTGGCGACAATCTGCTCAACAACAAATTGCTGCAGGAGGTGCTCTACATGGTCGTCGTTGCTGGCAATTTCCTCAACGCCGGCGGCTATGCGGGCAAGGCGGCCGGGGTGAAGCTATCGTCGCTGCAGAAGCTAACTGATATCCGAGCCAACAAGCCGGGCATGAATCTTATACACTTTGTGGCCATCCAAGCAGAGCGCTGCAATCCCGAGCTGCTGCAGTTCACCACACAGCTGAGCAATCTCGAAGATGCCAGCAAGTAAGTGAACATCCCAATCCATTAGAGGAGACATACTTAAATCCTAATGCCTCTTAAACTGTCCACAGAACAACAACGGAGCAAATTAACAGTGAGATTACCACGCTGGAAAACCGCATCAGGAAGATCACCAAGCAGATTGAGCTGCCCACAACGGATGCGGACATCAAGCAGCAGATGTCGGAGTTTTTGCTGGCCGCGGAGTCTGAGGTGGCCGTGCTGCAGGCCGGCATGAAGCAGGTGGAATCATTGCGTCTCAAATTGGCCGAGTTCTTCTGCGAGGATGCGGCTACGTTTAAGCTGGAGGAGTGCTTCAAAATCTTTCAGAGCTTCTGTGATAAATTCAGGCAGGCCATCAAGGAGAACGAGCGGCGTGTGCAGCAGGAGAAGCTGGCGGAGGAGCGCAACAGAATTCGAGCGGAACAGCTGGCCAGAAGGACCAAGCAAAGTATGTGGCCGTCATTCGTATTATTTCCTCTTCTTATAGCAGTTGCCTCTTCCTTTGCAGTGGGTCAAGCGGGCACGCCCGTCTCCGACTCGGACTCGTTTCTGGGCGATGGGCTGTTCGATCCGCGCGCCAGCCCCGCGCTGAGCAGGCGCCAACTGGGCTCGGGTGAGCTGAACAACGGCTTCATACGGATCGAGCAGGAGTACAGCGCCTCGCCAGACATCACGCCCAATGGCAGCCTACGACGTCGTCCCAGTCGCGTGCTGGCCGGTGAGGATGACCTCATGGAGTATTTGCGTAGCTCCGGCCCGCATGGCCACGACGGCCTCGGTCATATCAGTCGCGATCGCAAGGCAGCCTACGGCAGTCTAGGTAGGTCTCCCTTCTCTCTATATTTGCTTCTGCTTGCTATATTGGCTAACTCTACTATTCTAACAGATCGATCCTGGGCACGCCGTGCACGCTCTGGCAGCTCGAGTCGCAAGCGTCCGGATATACTCAACATTGACTTTGGTGTTGATCGGGAGCGTGCCAGCTCACCAGCTCCACTGCTGCAGCAGCAACAGCAACAGCAGCAGGACCGCATTCAATCGCCTTTAGCCAGCAGTGGTACGGGCACGCCCACAACGGCAGCCAATACGCCCATCAGCAATGGCCCAACGATACCGCAAATGCCCGCAGCGCACGAGGATGCAAAACCGAGGTAAGCATTTCCAGGGACTTAACTAAACTAACTAAAGACTAAATCGATATAAATTAAATAATATGATAATATGAAAATACCAAATAAATACCAATAAAATACCATTCAACAGGATATCCCGTGAGTGGCGACAGAAGATCGAAACTTGGCTGCAGTCAAACGAAAACGATGAGAAACAGAACGAGGAATACAAGCGGAAGCGTCGCCTGGTTAATGCGAATCGGCGATCGCTCGAGAACGAAACTGGTAAGCGATATCAGCTCAAGTCCAAGCAGAAACTAAAACTCCAGCTTCAATACTATACAGAAAACGAACGAAAACTGGATCCATTGCCAGAGGAAAAGATAATGCCAACAACAGCAACAACGACGCCAACGACGACGGCGTCAACGCCAACGACGACGATCACTAACCCAACTAAGAACCACAGCCACAGCAGCAGCTACATCAGGCGAGAGCCGGAGCAGGAGAAGCAGGAGAAGGAGAAGCAGCAGCCAGCGCGCTATCAACGCGTCTATGCAGACTGGAAGCCAAGCCAAACACTGGACCACACAGACGTGGTGGGTAACATTGAGGCCATAGCGGATGCGACGACAACAGCGCAGACTGCTCAACCACATCTAACCACGGCCGAGGAGCTGCGTCAATATCGGCGGCAACGCTCGCAGGAGCAGGCGCAGAGTACCAGTCCTCTGCAGTCGATTGCCGAGGAGGATCGCCGCAAGTCCATTATACAAAAGCTGGGCGACAGCGGTGGCACTGCAGATTGCCTGAAAATCTATATACGGCGTCCGTCCAGCATGGATCTGCAGCCGGAGCCGGTGAAGCGTGTTGAGCCCAAGTCGCCCACGCAGGATGACACCTTTGCTAATCTGCTGGATCATCACAAGAGTCACAATGAGTCGCAGTATGTGACCGCCTCCTCCAAAGAAATCGATGCGGATAACATTGAGACGCCGCCAGTGACACGACGCGTCCTGGCCACGCCCACCAGCACAGTGGTCACGGTCAGCATGACGGATAAGCCAAAGCATATACCGGAGGAGAAGAGCAACGCCAACGCAGCAGCTAATGAGCAGGATGCGCCGGGTCACTTTGACCGCTATGCTCTGGCGAGGCGGACGCGTCGCTACAAGCGACCCACAGACTACAGCAGCGGCAATGAGGAGCTCATTATGCCTACGCCGGATATCAAGCAATCGGTCAGCGCTAGTGAGGTGCGCCGTTTGCCAAAGGAGGAGCCGCAGCCGGAGAAGGCGCGCACCATAACCAAACTGGAGAAGGTGGGTCGACACATCAGCTCCATTAACCAGGAGGATGTGCGAGAGGCCATACGCAATCTGAAATCGCCAACGGGCACACCAGAGCGACCTTGGAGTCCGCCACGTGAGTTGACGCCAAGCAAGCTGAAACTTAATGCCAGCGGACATCACGAACTAAACGACGAGGGCTTCGAAGAGACACAGAGCTTGGTCTCAGACACACCCTCACATGGCAAGGGTGAGAGCACCAACTCCTCCTGCAACGAGGCTAATGAGGCGCCCGCCCAACGTTCACGCCCGCTGTCCAAGCAAAAAACCAGCACCACCAGCATCAGTGCAATGGGCAGCCGCCTGGCAGACCGACTGCAGCAGGCGAGACGGCTGGGCAGCTCCACCAGTCCTTCACAGTCCCAATCCGGCAACAAGTCACAAAACCAAATCTCAGCCGCGGCAACGATCACAGCTGCTCTGCCCAAGCGTAGCCTCTCGGCCAGCCGGCCACTGCGTATGCCCAATGGCAGCCACATGCCGAGTGCCACGCCCACTGCGGTACGTTCATCCTCATCGACGGGCGTAAGGCGCAGTCCACACGAGCCTCCACAGTTCACGCCCAATTATGCGAAACAGCGCGATGTGGAGCGAAGTAGCTCCCGCAACAGTTTACGCTCCTCGCGATCCTCCATCAATAGCGGCGCATCCACACAGACTGTGGTGCGACGTCTGCCCTCAGTGCAGCGCACCGCCACCGTCTCGGTGGACTCATCGCCCAGCAAACGTCCACTGGCGGCGCAGAATGCGCGACCCACAGCCAGTGGGCGTGGCGTGCCCGCCAGCCGCAGCAGCAGCAGTGGCTCCAGTGTGGGTCCCAGTGTGATACTCGTGCGGAGCAAGCTGTCGGCCGGTCCACGCTCTGGCCAGGCTCAGCCGTTGGGCAACAGCACTAGCTTCAAGGAGAACCAAACTGCAGCCACAGCCACAGCACCCGCCTCTCGTTTGACAGCCGCACGCAGCGCGATGCTGGTGAAGAATGTGATGAATCAACAGGCCAAGAGCAGCAGCAGCTCGAGTAATTCCCAGCAGCCGCGCAACCGATCAGTGAGCAGCTTTATGCGGCCCACGGCCAGCAGCGCGACCAAGCGCCAGAAATAAGCAATTTTACGCAGGAAGAGTGAGGAGTAGGAATAGGAGGCATCGTCCAAGTTAACGTCCCAAGTTTACAAACTCAGAACAAAGACAAGTTACAAAATGCATATAATCTAAGCCGTCCAAGCAAACGACATCAAAAACAAAAGATAAATACACAAGTAAAATATTTCGAATTTCTAGGCAGGATTTTGCACAAACTACTCCATTTAATTGTTAACGTAGCACAACAACCCGAAGCCCTAGCTCCCAGAGTTATTTATGAGCAGTTGTTATACACCAAGTAGTATCTAGTTTAGAGAGGGTCCAGCAGAGGGTCCGATGATGATAATGATGATCATTTTCAGCACATTCCAAAGGTAAACAGAAACAGGTGCGCCGTGAGCTCCGTCACAAAATGTGTTTCAATGCGAAAGTTTTCTTTTTGTACACTTTTCATCGTTTCCATGGACCTCTTACATTCTAATTCTTAAGAAAGACAAAAGATTGTTGAAATCCTTAAATATATATCTGTATTTGAGCACAAAAAAATTGAAGAAATATACTAGTTAGTAAAACTACTCGACTCTAACTTAGAATTACAAGTTAAAATTCTCTATTCCATATTAACATTAACATCTAGTTTTAGACACTATTCGATTATACATGTGTAGAAAAGTTCTTTTTATAGAAGCGCGTTTATTACAGATGTGTAGTAAAAAGAAAACAAACAAAAAAGACAACCGAAATCATAATTGATTTAGGTATTGATATTCATACTGATGAACAAATGACAATTAAATTCTTAAAAGAAAATACAGAAAAAAAACAAGCTTTAAGTGCATAATAAATAAAATAAAATATTTAAATAATTATGTCAATGCCGTGTCTTACATTTTAATTGTGAACTAAACAAACTAGAAACTTTTCTAATATTGCTTGGTGGGATATTTCTCTTGGACATTATTTACAATAATTCTGCTTATCAAACCATTCCTTGTGGTTCTCCAAGTAACTGAAATAAATTAGAAACAGTATTAGTAACTGTAACAAAGCTGTCATACAAATGTTCATTACTTGATTAACGAGTTGAGATGTGGTATCAGAATCTCTAGTTTCTCATTCGATATGGGCGACTCATTGAGCCATGCGGGCAATAAAACTGCAGTAGGAAAATAATCATTAAATTAAGGGAATCTGCAATGTAAATTAACTCCACCACTCACCCAGCATTCGCGCTAAATGTGGTGCACCAAATATCATAGATTTCTCAGATCTATCTAAATATAGTGTGTCTGTTTTAGCCAACAGACTCCAGCTAAATGTCTCACAGAGGAAGCCACGCATTTCCATTGGCAGCTTGTAGGCAGCAGTATAGGGGGAGGTTCGCTGATCATAGGCATGAGCCATATTATTCTTTCCACTACATTTCACAATGTATAGAAGGCACTTTTGTAGCTGCTTCTCGTACTCAATGCCACCTAAAATGGTGCCATCGCCTCCATTTGTGCCATTCATACTGCCATCCATTGAAATGAGTTCATTGTCCATGCTGGGATTAATATACTCCTTGGCTTGGGCTGCGAGCTTGTTTGAATACATTGATATGTCGTCGTGAAGCTTGCTAAGAACATAGTCCCTTTCCTCTTTGTAGAGCAGGTGATCTTCTAGATGAAATTCAAAGTAGATCCGCAAGCCATCCACGACTTCCTTGAGCATACAGACACTGGAGAATTTTGTTAAGGAGTTCAATGAGTGCTGATTAAATAATACAAAACGGAGAACGACTCACAATTGGAATCACACAATCGACTGGGATTCTCTCTAGTTGGGAGTTGATTCAAGCCAAACCTAATACTTACTTGGACATTACCCGATCGTACTCACGCTCCATGCGCGCATTACGACTCTGTGTGTTGCGTGCCCTCGAACTGTCCTGCTTGATTCCAATGGCCAGTTCGACGGCTCGCTGCTTCACAAAGTTCTCCAAGATGGTGATGATGGGCATGCGGGCAGGCAGATCATGCTCCTTCCCCAGTTTGCAAACCATATTATAGTCGTATTCCATATACTCGCGCAGCCGTTCGCTGATGCGCAGCATCACACGATCCTCTGGATGGACGCGTTTCTCTGCATCAGTTGTATGCGTATCTTTAGGTGAGACTTGCAAATCAAACTGAGACTTAGCAGATTTTCGCTCACCATCCGTACGGCCGGATTTGCGTATGTCCTTCATGGTCACATCAGCACCACCTCCGCCAGTGCCAGATTTGTCGTGCTGGCCTTTGCGACCGCTACTGTTGTCCCGCGAACGATTACCACTACCATCCCGCATGCGGGCGCCACCTTTCTGCTGTGCCGGCAGTTCGTGCTGTGGAGTCGCCGGCTGAGATGCCAACGATGTGTTCAAGGATTCTGATGCCTGATCTTCAGCGTTTACACCTCTGGTCAAACGCTTCTTCTTGCTGGGTGGCAAAGTCGGAGTCTTGGTGTCTTTATAAGAATAGCCACCAATTCTGCAAATTGTAAACAAACAGTTATTCACACATATACACACACACGTGCGCACGTATCACTCACTTTTGTAACTGCGCGGCTTCTGCCAGCTCACGTTGAAGTTTACGATTTTCTTCGTTGTCTTTTAGCAAAATGTCGGCGCGCACATTTCGATCCCAGGATGAGTTCCAGCCTTGAAAATGGATTTTGTAGTCAAAGTACCGTTTATTATCGGCGTCCTTGCGTTCATACACAGCTAAAACCTAAAGAATAAACAATTTTTTCGGTGTGAAAAATCGAAGCAATCACCTCGCGTTCTCGCATTTGTGTTTGACGTTTCGAAACGTTGTTGGTGTATGCGTGAGCGTATGTGTGTGTGTATGTGTGTGTGGGTTGTGTTCATGGGTTACCTTACTATCGTACAAGACCCTAGCATTCGATTTGTCGGGCTCGAAACACAGGACTTTCTCACCCTTGTTGAAAAGCTGAACCTCGTCTTCTCGCGTCGTCATCACTTTTGAATAAATGACATCAACTATTATTATGGCAAAATATTATTATTTATTGTTTGCATTCAATCGCGTCGCTCGCGTTGCCTCTTTCTGCCAATCACACAAAATACACCACAACCAGGGCTGCAAAGCTTTTTGTAGTGAACTAGCAAACACTAACTACTTTTGTTCCCATCAATCACGCTCTGCACTTAGAAAAATAACCAATGTGATGATTGCACAATTTGTGGTATATGCAAGATAAATATCATTTTGAAATTTATTAAACATTATTAAAGAAAACTTATTAAAGGGGTTTTCTTCCTATTTATGTTGTTTCTTAACAAAATGAACATTTTCCGATAACATTTGTATGTGTTCGCTGTTACTGGCATTTGCCGATAACATTTCATAGTCGATAAACGGCATTGGCGCAATTTAAAAACAAACCGTTGCTAAGGAGGAAAAACCAAAACAAATCATTGTATTGTAATTTTTCTACAGACTATAAACGTATTATTTTTAAAATAGAGAACAAAATAGATTTTATAGTATGGCAACATCGTCGGCATCTAATTGGCTGCATGTGGACATCGAGGAAGACACCCCGAAACTCTGTTCGACTTTATCCAGTTGCATGACACTCAGTGACGTGCAATGCGATGGTTACGTGCGGCTATTAGTAGCTGACATTTCTCTAGAGGATGACGAGGAGCCCAGTGCCAAGCTTAAAGTGTTTCGTGGACTAACACTTAAGCATGAGCAACCACTACCTGGCGTACCAACTGCAATTGAAAGTCTCTACACAGATGAAACAGAACCTAAAACGCCGGGTGAGCATTTTAGGCTTTACCAGTTCGTATAAACTTTATATACCTTTCCTTTTTTTATTAAACAGTCATTGCAGTGGCCATTGCTGATTCCGTGCTGTTTTATAGGCACTTGAAGCCCTTCTTTAAATACACAATACCAGCCACGGATGCGGATGAGTTGGAGTTGGAGGTGTGGCGCAAATTACCTGTGATGAAACCGGAGACTCATGAAGGGCTGCTGCAGTTACTCAAGGATGTGGACCATGCCAAACTGTCGCGTAAAACTCAACGGCTGCTGCAACTAACGGAGGAAGAGCGTGCTGTAAGAGAAGTGTTTTCTAAATTAAATATTATTATATATAAACTTTATTTCTCCCTAGGCATTTATTAGCACTCACAAGGATTCTGTTGTAGGTCGAACCGGCAATATTGTGGCCATGTGTTGTCTGAACCGAGTTTCCAGCAACGTGAGCCCCCCTTCACATTTGGTTCTGGCCACAGACACGGGCCACATATATGTGTTGGAGCCGCAGGGCTTCAACTTGATATATCAGTCAACTATTTGCAATTATGAGACAGCTGTGCCAAGCCTTATTTCGGTACATGGCACCTATGAGACAGATTTCTCCATTGTGGTGGGCACGCGGAATGGTGGAGTTTACCTGCTGCGCAAGTCCAGCAGCGAGGGTCAGGAGATTTTCAAGCTATCCACCCCATTGACTGGCCTGCTCCTGCTGCCCATTGATCAGACAATCGTTATAACCACCATGGAGCATCGCTATATGTGCTGCTCGAAGCGAGGCAAACAGCTTTATCAGCTGCACTTGGAGTCGGCGCCGGTCTGCATTTTACCCCTACCGCTGACCCACCTGGGCGTCACCTTGGTTGCCGTCGCACTTCAAGGTGGAAAGGTGGCCTTCTATTTGAATCGCTATATGGTGGACGAACTCGTGGTCCCAGAGACTGTGGCGGGCATGCTATACGGACGTATGGGAATGGAGGATCATGTGCTCACACTGATAACGGAAAGTGGCGAAATATTTATAAAGATATTGCGACGCATAACACGTTTTGAGCCAGATACATCAGCGGCTGCACTAACGAAAAAGGGTTTGGCGGTGCCGCAGAAGATCGGAGATGCATCCATACTGGACAAGTCAAAGAAGAGCTCAATATTCGTAGAGCAAGCGGCGCGTGAGAAACAGCAGGCCAAGTGTAAGTTACGTGGATCTTTGAGTAAACCAATTTTAATTTCTGCCTTGATGCAGCTAGCTACGGCAGCTTTCAGATGGAGCTGTGGCGACTACGCCACACAGCCGCACGTGCCACAATAGATGCTATCAACTCCTCAGAGAGCACCATTTCAGGAGACCTAACACATGCACCCGTAAAACTAGCTGCCGAGGTGTGCGGCAGTGGACCCGTTTTTCGACTCTACCTCACCGTACAGAATCTGTCCACGTATAAGATGGCCTCAAATCTGGCCTTACTGCTGCATGCGGATCGTCGTCATTATACCATACAGCAGTCCGTGGCCAAACTGCCCAGCGTTCTGCCTGGCATACCGCTGCGCGTAGACTTTGAGGTGATGGCTGTGCTGGATGCAATGGACAAGCTGCCACCAGCCACTTTGACGCCCGACAATTCTCAGATTCGTGTTATGCTAATGAAGGCGGGTCAGGCGAAGCCACTTATAGCTGCCGTGGTGGCCATGCCACAATCGGAAGCAGCATTCTAAATGCTGTTCAATATAAAGTGATTAATATTTGTTATTACGGGTAAGTTGCTAAATTTATTTGCCCATAAAATAAGGTTAGCTGCTAATGATCTTCATCATTTAGGGCACATACTTCTCGTAGACCTTGACGTAAGCCTTCTATGCGGTTCATACATGCTCTTTTTTAAATCGAATAATCCAGTCTTATCAATGTTGACGTCTCCAATGGTGGCCTGCTCGAAGAGTCCATATAACTTCAAGAAGTCAGAGTCTTTGGGCTTCTTAGAGAACTTCTTGGCGAGTTCAAAACCTTACTCAAAGGCGGGCCATTATGCAAGGCAACTGTGTGGAATGTTGCTTAACTTTAAACGTGTGGCTTCTACTTATAATAATCTCATCCAATAATATGCAATTTAATTAATTTAAATTTAGGGAAAGTCTGCTCAGTATAGGCTAATTTCAGTTGGGTTTTATATTAATTAATATTGTGGAAAAGTATGATAGGTGAGCGCCGTTAGTGTTTGTCTGATCTAAGATAAGTCTGGACATGAATCATTCAAAATTAAATCAAAGTGACTTGACTGTGAACTGTGCGCCATAGCCACCATAAATAGGAAGTCAAGTTTATCTTCAGTTGCTGACAGTATTGACTCGTTTTATATATGTATTTACATAAATGTGATAAAACATATTCGATGAACACTCATAAAATATTTATGCTAATCTTATCGATTCAGTGCATAACGTGACTCCATGTCTATCTCTATACTTAGCTCTATGATTGCGATTATACGTATATGAATTGACAATATTATTTCTAGCAAACTGCAAGTGCAAACTCATACGAACTATTCGTTATTGACTCAGCGAGATCCAATCAGCATAGGAAATCAAATATGATATATGTGCCTGAGTGTGTCTATTTTTTCAGGTAGCAGGGAATAGGAGTCAGTTTTGATAAGATTAGCTAACAACAAAATTGGCTTTTAGGCTTCAGACTATTTTATATATAACTACGAGTTGAAACAAGCAACCACAATTTGTTTTCGTTAACCAGACACAACAGACCAGCTAACAGCCAACATGGTGAACGTAAGTTAAAATATAAAAAATACGACAAAATCAGGAGGAATAACTTTCTCCTATTTTGCGCTGCAGTTTGAGGAAATCGTAGAGAAAGCAAGGAAGTTCAGGGACACTTTAACCAAGGAGGATTTCCTGGAATTCTATGGGTACTACAGGCAGGCCACAGAGGGCGATTGCAACATTGAGGAGCCAGAGGATGAGGAGGAGAAGGCTCGCTACAATGCCTGGAAGAGCAAGGCTGGTCTGACTCTGGAGGATGCCAAAGCCCACTACATCGAGGTGTACAAGAAGCATGCTGCCAAATACGAGTAGAAAATGCATTTAAAGAACTTTGCTTTAGCACGCAAATTTATATTTTATTTATGCCACTAATGTCCTTGTTAAACAAATGGATTTATACTATTTTTATATGAACGCTAATAAAACCGTAAGCATTTAGAAAAAATTACCAAAACATGATTTAGTTATGTTAAAGTTCAATTATTTGCAGCAAACTTCGATACATTTTCAAATCATGAAACTTTAATGTTCATGTACTTGAGCAAATTATCTATTTAAATGTATATATGTAATTTCATAAATACACATCAAATGATCAATTTGTTTCAGCTGCCTCATCATGATAGCAGTTTGCTATCTAATTCCAACAGTCAATGCAAAAACAGACAGACAACATTAATCATTTCAAGAACGTACTTCCTCTAGTTACAAATATTGATGTAGTAATTTGAGAAATTTTTAAATTATAATTGAGATCAGCGAAGATATAGAATATGTCTAATTTAAAATATATATTTAAAATATACACTATTAAAATAACAGGCTTTTATTAGCTTCGCTTAATACCAGCTTAATAAATTTGAGCACCTAAAAGTATGCTACATTTAAATATGACAGTTTTTATATAAGAAACATCTGTCTGCATGAGCAAAAAGCTTTTATGTCAGTTTTAGCATAAGTGCATTTCAGCTAACATTCTTCACGTTTCATTTCAATTCGAGTCTTTGCTGGAAGTTTGTTTCAATATAAATAATAAATGAATTCATTCATTTAGATTACTACATATGTACATACATATATAAAAAGGAATTATACATAACCTTCTAATAAATAATCAATAAAAAATAAGTTATTTCGGACTGTCATAAATAATCAAATGAAAGAAGCAGAGCAATTAAATTGTATATACGCCGAGTAATCTTCAGGTGTTTAGAACTGATTAGAAGTATACTGAAAAGTCGTGACTCCGCTGGAAATATAATATTTTATATATTTTTAGCTGCAGTTGCGATTAGATGGGGCCGCACTTCGCACCCAGCTGATGATATGATTAAAACGACATCCACATCCGAAAATCTTAATCCAATGCAGCTCAAAGCTACGCTAGCCGAGCGAAACTTTGAACAGCTCGCCAATCGCCCATTCGGAATGTATTGCCATGAGGCGAAATAGTGGACGCTCTCAGTTTCACGATTTGTCGAGAGCTTTGGCACGATGTCGCCGACGATCGTGAGCAGCGCGGAATCATTTAAATTGAAAGTCAAATCGAGACTCGGATTCAGATAGTGCCGAGTTCTGAGACCGCCCAGACAGCAAAAGCCATCGTAAGTGCGTGAGCCGAACATTCAAAATTCAATGGGTGCCTGAACACGTTATCAATATATATTACAAGAAACAACAATTTACACATGTGGCAATCAACAATCAGAAAAAGCTCATGGCCAGATAGCGGCAAAGTGATTATCTTAGCCAATGAGTAATAATATATGATTCGCACGTACTCGACCCACGCCCAAATTCCATTTCTGACGGGATTCTATGACACCAAAATTTTGCAATTACTGTGCTGCTGCTGTCGCTGCTGATGTGTCCGTTAGATACATTTGTATCTTTTTTAGCTACCGCAATAATTTTCATAAATGAATTTCTATTTTTATTACGCTGCTGCCAGCGCCGGCTGCTTGGTGAAAGTTATGTCTCTCCTAAGTGCTGCTGTTCTCAAAAACATGCGATAGATGCCAAAGTTCATCTCTCCAGGCAATTTGGCGGTGGTCTTTTATTGTAAGGCCCTCCAATTAATGGTGATCAGCGAACTGGTTTTGTCATGTCATCAACCAGAGCAACAGTAGCGGCAGCAACAACAACAACAACAACAATAACAACAGCAGTAACAGTAACAGCAGCAGCCGTAGTTGTAGCTGTAGCCGTAGCTCCCCATCAAGTTCATTGTCACATTTATAATTTATGTTGCGTCATAATATATTAAACTTGCTTAATTTGTTACTTGCAGATTAAAATCTAAATCGAGATGTCCCTCACTGAGGTAAGTGGCAGAAAATAATTTATGGTGATGTTGTATGTTATTTATCTTATCGCAGCTGTTCTGTGATAAGCCAATAACTTATCAACATGTTGATTTGGGATAATCGTGTAATCTGTTAACTCTTTCGCAGCAATTCAATGCCGCCGCCGAGAAGGTGAAGACGCTGACCAAGCGTCCCAGTGATGAAGAGTTCCTCGAGCTGTATGCCCTCTTCAAGCAGGCCACCGTTGGCGACAATGAGACCAGCAAGCCCGGCCTTCTGGACCTGAAGGGCAAGGCCAAGTGGGAGGCCTGGAGCAAGCAGAAGGGCAAGTCCACCGAGGCAGCACAGAAGGAGTACATTGCCTTCGTCGAGGGTCTGGTGGCCAAGTATGCCTAAGCTCAAAGCCAGAGCCAAACTGAATTGATTTTACACAACAACCAGAGAGACTAAATCTATTTATACACAAATTGTAGATAATACGGAACAAGATCTTCTTAATGCCTAATAAAACTTGATTACTAACTTTTGTACACACAACGAAACGAACTGCCCTGCCCATTGCCCAAAGTGCATTACACTCTGTTGGTTCAGTACGCTGGGTTGTTGGTTATTTGCAAGGCAAATAAACATATTCAAATGTCGGCTGGGCAATGAGTCCGGGTTGCGAATACGAATGCGAATCAGAATACGTACCTTTCAGCTAATAATGCAATTCGTTCTTTGCACGCTCGACTTTCCATTAGCGCCTAACTGTTAATAGACTCGCCGAAAATTAAGGTGTTTTAGTCGTGCGGACGACCTTGACGCTTTAGCTACAGCAGAGTGCAGCGTGCAAAGGTGCAAAGGTGCAAAGCTGAAGCAAATAATGGATTTACTCTGTTTCCATTTCCTAAATACTGAAGTGTTTACAGAGTTACGGCGATACGCTATGTATAGAACACGAGAGAAAAACTAAATATTAGTAAAACGTATTAGTATAACAAGTTTGTTTACTTCCGGGGTTGGAGAAAATGTAATTCAAGTGCAGGCAGAGAACTAAATAATAAATAAACAAATTTTAGCAAATATTTTAGGAATTAGAAATATTAATTAAATATGATTATAAAACTATAATAAGAAAATTTTATGTTATTTTATTTATTTGATAAAATTAAAATAATTAAATAATGTTCATAAAATTATTAAAGTCGCGCTGGGCTTGCCTATGCTGAATAGAGATATACCAAGTACATACATATATATTTAATCATTGTATTGAGGGCCAGAAAGCTTTTAAAGCTTGGCCAAAAGTAATTAATTATAATATTCAAAATATTAAGTATGTTTTACAAACCAAGTCAAACATTAAATTAAATCATATATACATTCCTAGATTTTCAAATATTTTATTTATATTTTTTTTTTTTTTGTGGTAGAATAGTATAGTACTCTTCAAAATAATATTTAGTATATTTATATAAAAGAAAATCAAATAAATTTCATATTTGAATATTTTTAGATTTTTCAAATATTACAAATATAACAAATAAAAGTTTTTAAATATTGAAAAGATTTGAGAATCGCAGTCAGTAAATGTGTGGGCATCCATACTAAATGTAATATATGTGCATCTCACTTCCATATTTGCACCATACGAAAGTTGTTAAACTTACCTTTTCAATTAGCAAATCGTAATTCAAATAGTTTTTCTATTTTTGCACAACTTTCCAAACTTCTTTCGTGCGGCGCAGCAACTCTGTCAAAAAGTCGTTAGAAATTCAAAAAATAAATAAATAAAAAAGGCCGATAGCAAGAGTTGTAATTGCTGCTGGCAACATGCGGCTGCTGTTACCGGCTGCTCAACAGGTGAGCACAGGTGAGAGCCAGACAGCCAAACGCGAGCAAAACAACAACAACAACAACGCGCGCTGCGCTTTTTGTTTATGAATGAAAAGCGCATAAGTAAACCGTGATAAATGTGTGGGCACGAGCGAAACCAGCGCAGAGATCGCTAGCCACAAGAGCGCGAGAGTGGAAGGAGGGCAGCCAGCGAGAGAGAGAGAGAGAGCGCGCGGAAGGAAAGAGAGTGTGTGTATGTGAGAGAGAAGTGACTCGTTCGGCAGCAATGGGCAACTGGCAACTGGTGCTAGCTGTTCAGTCTACGTTTTGGCCTAAACGCGTTTGCTTGGATTTGGCCAGCGCGCATGAGCCGTCGGTTAGTCTGCACTGTTTACCGTCCCTCTCTCTCTGTCTCTCTCTCTCTCTCTTTCACTCTTTCTCTCCAATAGTGTGCGTCTGTGTGCATGCGTGTGCGTGTGTCGGTGTCGGTGTGTGTGTTAACAAAATGTGATTAGCAAAAATACAAAAGAAGAAAAGAAGGCAACGCGATATAAAGCATTGTGGCAAAAAAGAACAGAAAGCGCAAAAACTGTGTTAAAAATAACAAAAGATATCAACGAAAACAAAACAATTTTTGCTTAAATTTTTTTTATTTTAAATTATAGTTGCTTTGCATAAATAAGTAGACAAATGAAATATATAAATTGTATGTATGTATGTATAAATATAATATACGGAAGCCGCACAAATATATATTGTTAACAGCAATGCTGAATTTTGTGCTTTATCGGCAGCAGCAGCAGCAGCAACAATAAAATTCATATTGAACTACACCCAAAAGCCAACAACAACAGCAACAACAATAACGGCGCAACGGCGGCTGTGCGGCTGACTTGGCCGACAGCTCACCACCAACAGCAGCAGCAGCAGCAACAGCAACAACAACAACAACCATAGTCAGCGTCGTCGTCTACCTTTTTCGTGCCTTTTCAAGTGTTTTTTATTGCTGCACAACCTCCCCTTTCCCCCCCTAAGCGGAGCATAGAGCAAGCAAGCAAGCCAGCGTGTGAGCGAGCGAGCGAGAGAGTGACTGACTGTCTCTGTGTGTGTTTGAGTGTGAGTTAGTGTGAGTGTGAGCGAGAACGTGTGTCTGGTTTGGCGCTGTGCTCAGTCTCGGCTTTGCGACCAGTTTCAACTCCCTGATATGAACCAGCTGTGTCTGCCCGGGCCACACACACACATGAACATACACACTTGTGCATATGTGTAGCTACAACAGAGTATGCAATTTTGGTAAGTCCAACGTTTACCGTTATAGCCAGCTCCCAACTGATCGCAGCTCGACTAGCTGACTTAGCCCAGCTTATCTACCTGTTCCAATGGCCTCGTCAGCAGCTAATTAAAAGCGCCCTTTCGAGTAGATGTGCCAAAAGACTTAGTTCTACACCTCGTTTTCTTTACTCTTGCTCCTTCTGTTTCTTTGTTTTCCTTGTATTTCGCATATGCGCTGTGATTTGTTGTTTTAGTTGTTGTTGTTGTTGCTGTTGTTGTAGCGCTAATTCGCAGCATTTCATTTGCGGCTCTTTTCATTAATAAGTTTCACGCGCCGCTCATTTTTCAACACGTTCTCGCCCCGCACCCCCAAGCAGCCCCTATGAACCCCTTTCGGTTACCTATCCTTTGCTTAGCTTGTGTCTGGCTCGGATTACCATGTTGATGTTGTATTTACGTATGTATAATCGTGTACATATATGTGCATATATATGTGTATGTACACATACATATGTATGTATATCAAAAAGTATATTTGTGTAAAAACACCAACTGAGTGAGGGCTTAACATAAATTTGGTTTCGGCTTTTTATTTTATTTCTGCTAATTTCATTTTATTTGGTTTCTCACGCTGCGGCTTAATAAATTTGCTCAGCAAATTTGTATGGGAAGCTGCGAGTGTAGGTAGACGACATGATTCAGCTAGGTAGACGACTCTAGAGAGATAAATGTATGATTAAAGGTAAAAGTGTAAATAAAATTGGCTTAGAGTAATGCTTAAACATATTCAAATGACAAAGCGTGAATGGGATAGATGACGACTGAGACGGGAATTCTGTGACAGATATACTATGTATAATGATAGGTACATATACATACATACAAAGAAGAATGAGAAAGATGATATATACATATAGAAATTCATGTACAAGTACAGCTTAGCAGATAATCTAATCTAATAATCTATATGTACATATATCTATATCATCGATATACCTTTAAAATCGATTGGCTTGCCAACTTGTTAATCTAATACTAATCAGCAATGCACGAAGCGAATGAAAGCACATGAGAATTGCATAGAAGGACAATATTTTTAACAGTTATTCTAAGCTTATTTCTCTGTAAAGATCTATCGACTATCGACCCAGCTGCTGCAATGAATGTCGCCTGCGCCTGCGTAACTTAGGGTAGACATAAACCATAGGCAGACCAAAAAACTTGTTTCAGCCAGACAAAACAACAACAATGGCAACAGCAGCAGCAGCAACAACAACAACAACAACAGCTCGATTTGTATGTGCGCCCAAGTGAAGCTTAGAGCAGAACAAAACTTGAGCTATGACCGATACTGACGTAGACTGCAGCATGCCACATGCCACATGCCGCATGCAACTTGCAACTTGCAACCTGGGCAGCCGCTCGACACTTGACGCTGCCTAAGGCCAGGTATTTGCAACAACAGCAACAACGGCAAATAACTGTGACCAGGAATGCGCAAACAAGAACAAGACACTTGCCTTGCACGCAATGCGAGTCGCTATCAAAATATTGCCATTGCCATTGCAATACGTATACGCACCATATATCGAATATTTGAATGTGAGACTGCAACTGGGGCTGGGGGTGTGGCAGGCGTGGCGTGCATAGCTATAAACCTTGTCACTTCGCTGAGCTGTCGGCCCTGCTTGTCAGCTTGAGTTTCTATTCTCCACCACCCCCTCCCTCTCACGCGCTCTCATTATCAGTCTCTCTATTTTTGTCTCACTCTCCATCTGGCTTTCAGATGCAAATGAAGCCATTTGCGTGTGGACCATAAATGTCAACGGCTACGCTTCTCATTTGAGCCAATTTGAACTCTGTCATTTTGGCTCGAAAACTTGAGAATTGTTTGTGTCCAGTGATCTATGTGATGTTGTTGTGTTGTTGTTGCTGTTGCTGCTGTTGTGGCTGCTGGCTTCTCTCTTGACTACGAGATCCGTTTCGCCTCGTCTTTGTGTTTGTGTTTGTGCGGACTGACTGGCCAGCTAGCTGGCTGGCTATCCGTCCGTCTGGTTGTCTGTCTGTCTGCCTGGCTGACTGGCTGACTGGGCCTGTGTATTAACCTGCCGCACCGGTTTCGGTTTATGTTTTAGCCAACGCCATCATCATCATCCATTACTTATGCTCATATATATATATATATGTATGTATGTATATATAGGTGTATTTCTATTTCTCTTTTAATTTTCTTTCGAGCGCGCGCAAAGTTGTTTTTGTTGCTGCGACTTGTTGCTGCCTCTTTATTTATTTTTTAACCAGTTTCTTTGCTGCAACCTGAGCGCGAATGAGCCATAAATAACAAAAACAGCAACACCAACAACAACAACAACAACAACAGCAGCAGCCAAAGTGCTGCGGCTGTCCCGGTTTCCAGGAAGCAAATGTCCGTCCCGATTGTCGTTGTCTGCGT